TTTAAGAATTCCTGCTTTCTAACAAAGTGTGTTGGGTGACAAGCCAAAACTTATGCTAGTGAGTGGCAAGACACGTATTAGCATGTGTTAGCATCCTCATTGTTATGTGACCTTGCATCTTTGATATGCAATTTACCATTCTCCCACCTGCCAGATAGCAATTAGACAGTGATAACACGGTGTAGAGCTGGATGAACACAGCAGGCCAAGCAGCATCAGACGAGCTGGAAGACTGACGTTTTGGACCTAGACCCTCCTTCAGAAAGGTCAAAGATGCAAGGTCACATAACAGTGAGGATGCTAACACATGCTAATACGTGTCTTGCCTCTCACTAGCAAAAGTTTTGGCTTGTCATCCAACACTTTGGAAAGCAGGAAGTCTCTTAGTTCACACGATTCTCCTAACTTTGTTGTCAATGTCCACATCATTGAGTTCCTGTGAAGATTCTATCCATTTTCTGAAGAAGGGTCTAGGCCTGAAACGTCAGCCTTCCTGCTCCTCTGATGCTGCTTGGCCTGCTGTGTTCATCCAGCTCTATACCTTGTTATCTCTGTTTCTCCAGCATCTGCAATTCCTACTATCTCTGAAGCAATTAGACAGTGACTGCTTCCAACATAAAAGTTTTTGAGCAGTAACCTGGTGACTGTCAGCTCACTACTTGCTCCTGCAGCTCTCATCTTGGGCATCAGGCACCAGAATCTTGGATCACAGGGGTTGCAAACAATGGACTACCCATGGACTGTCTACCAGGCCGCTATTAGCAAGGCAAGGTGCTAATTTCCTTTTGTGTCTGGGGCACTTGATAGGCAACTGTGGACTGAAAGCTCTTGACCAAGTGAATCTGTAGGCTTCAAAGATGGTGGTGGCACCAGGAATCCCATTAACTCCCAGTAAGGGCATGATGCATAAGTTTATTAGGCACAGTTGGGAGGATAGTGTAAGAAAACCCAGCAGGAAACTGTCTGTCTGTGAAAACTACCAAAATTAACACTCGGGGCTGAACTTTACCAGAAAATTAGCTACATCTAATAGTTGGAGCTGCATCATACTTTGATGTACCAAGTAAACATTGTTTAATCGATTTATAGTAGCCGAATCATTGCTGCTAGTCATATTTGTCATACATTCTGAAACTTTTGAATCTTGCATGCTGTTCAAAAATCTTTGTAGTGATTGCATTTCCATTTAAAGGAGGTAGTAATTACTTTAATTAGTTTGAAAACTGAATAAGTGAAAGGTGTATTTTTCATTTTAGCAAACCAATGCATTTAGCAATTCCTATATAAACATTGCCTGTACTTGCCATGGCTGGAAATGTGCTTTTGTGCATAGTGGGTGACTTTGTGGTACAGTGGTAGTGGTCTAATGCTGAGCCAAGAGATCCAGGTTCAAGTCCCATCTGCTCCTGAGGCGTGTCGTAAAATGTCTGACCAAGCTGATTAAGAGGTCTTTTACTTATTGCTGGGCTGTCTGTCATGTATAGATGGCCCCTCCTGCTCTATGCACCTGACAAAGAGGGGCATTCTGGCTCAGTAGCTCACCTGTCATGCCTTGAAAATCTTGAGGTTAAATGTTAAGGAATTCACTGTTGTCCTGACTCTTCTGTCTCACCAACTGGTGCTTCAACTTGCTGTAATTTCATCTTGAACGTGATTGTTAAAAATAAACCTCCATTCACAACTTGTCACAACCTCATGATGGCCAAAATTATTAAGTCAATTGTCAGTTTCAGATGCATACATATTTACCACAAACTTTGTAAAACATGTTTAGTCATTTTAGTCTAAAGATGGTGATGAAGCTGTTCTTTTCATCTTAATATATTATGAGAGATGTTGAATTAAATATATTGTAGTGATCATTGATATACAACGTAGCGAGTCATCTGCTTTTGCACAGGACAAAGATAAGTGAGTATTTCAGTCCAAAAATTTTCATTTAAAATGATTTAGTCACATAGTCCTTAAACTTGGAAATGCTTGGATATCCTATTTGATTGAGTTCATCTGCTGAAATACCTTAGTGAGAGCATTTTGTATTGTCTGAGTGCTTAACTACGATGTTAAAATGTTGCACAACACTTCACACTGTAGGTTACCTTTGGAAACTACTGGATATAGCTGTGGCTCGGTGGTAGCAGTCTGCTTCTGAGATGTTTTGGGACTTGAGTCCCACTTCTGAGACCAGAGCATAGAATTTGTGCTGAGTGCTACCCTGTTAGGGATGCCATTGTTAGGATGAAATAGTAAACCAAGGTGTTGGCTGCTCTTTCAGGTGCAGTTAAAAGATTTCATTGTACTGTTTGGAAGAATGGCAAATTTTCAGTTGCCCTGACCAGTACTTTTTGTTCAATCAATGTCACTAAAGAGGGAAAACAGATTAACTGTACTTAGCTCACTGCTGTTTTTAGAACCTTCCTGTGCATAGATTGGCTGCTTTATTTTCTACATTATGGCAATGGTTGTGCTTTAAAGTACCTAAGAATAAACTGCTTCAGGACATCCTGTGGTGAGAAAATGCACCTCACACTTGCAAGTCTCTGATTTGCTAGTTATGGGAGAGAAATTGGTCAGAGTACCGAAGGAACATCTCTTGATCCTGTTGCAGTATTCAGATAGTTTAAAATTTTCAAATGTGGTCGATGTTTAATATCTCATTTGAACAGTGAAACCTCTGATAGTGCAGAACTCTTAATGCCGCATTGGAGTATTGACATTGCTTAAGGGTTCAAGTCCTGATTGGAACTTGATTTTGCACTTTCTGACCAAGGGCTCAGTCAAATAAACTATGCGTGTAATGGTGGCAACTAATGTTGGTGAGGCACTAAAAGACACTGCAGTCTCTTTTAATGCCTAGTTTGAGGTGGGGCTAAATTTTAGGTAATTTTAATAGAATTATGGAGCTTTTGATCTTGAACTAGGAGCAATTAGCTCTTTACCTCCCCTTGGTTACTAGTTTTCAGATTTCTGCTGAACACAAATTGCATTTCAGAAGCTGTTATAGGAGAATGATGTAAACATCTATAAGCATGATACAGTGTCTGGTACAATTGATACAATTTGTAATAAATTTAAATTTGTGTGAGATAAAACAAAAACTCTTGTCGACCAGTATGCATAAAAAGTTGCAGTAATATTTAACACCTGGGTTACTTAAAGACAACAATAATGTAATAATTTGCTAAGTTTTTTTTTCATTTTTTATATAAATTAACCTTGTTATCTTACTATGATAGCAAATGGGTTGTCTTTTGTAATTTGACTAGATTGCAAATATATTCTGGAGTGAGGGGGTTAGGTTAGTTGTGTGCAGTCATCATTAACTTTATTTAATCAATGTGGAAATTATGTAATTACTCAACACTGCACAAATCATAGTTATGTCCTGTTATCTGGGTGGGAATTGCACCCTTGATGCCAGGACGGAGTTGTGAACATGCATACATAAACGTTCCAGTTCCACAGGTCAGTTTTTGTTTTGAAGTGCTTTGAATGTAGGAGGGAGTATCCAAAGACATTAAGACTGTATCTGCAATTACAAAATGCCCAGGTGAAGTACGCTGCCTAAGCACTTTTAAACTAGACTTCCCACAGTTCTAGTGTTGAATTCCAGTGTGTCAAGTCCGCGTCTTTTGAGCTAGTTTACCTGGAAAAGTCTTAACCGGATGACCGAGCTGGCTTGTTTTTGTTCAGACGTTTCGTCACCATGCTAGGTAACCTCATCAGTGAGGCGACTGCTTGGAATTTATACTGTCCTGTCCGTTATGGTGAGTAGTGTCATTTCCAGTTTTATTTTCCTGCGCAGGAAAGAGGAAGAGCACCTATACAAAATCTTTGCTATGAGCGGATATTCCCGCAACTTCATCCGCAGGTGCCTACTAAATAGGCAACAATAAGAGGATACAGTACGCCCTAACATGCTGGCCACACTACCCTACATCAAGAACATTATCCGAACAGCCAACCAGACTCCTATGACCACTAGGAATCTTGGTAGCCCACAGCCACTCCACGACAAACACTTACAAGGATTAAAGACCCCATTCCCACAACATGCAGAAACAACGTGGTTTACAAAATACCACGCAATGACTGCCACAAACATTACATTGGACAGACAGGAATGAAACTAGCCATCAGAATATATGAACATCAACTAGCAGCAAAACAATGCAATAAACTCTCCTTTTTATATCACTACACTCTGCCAATGAAGGCCATCAGTTCAACTGGGACGATGTAACTATAGTAGCCCAAGTGAAACATTGACATGCATGGGAATTCCTAGAAGCATGGTTCTCAACCCATAATGTAATCAGCAAACATATAGAATTGGACCCCATATACAAAGCCATACAGAACAAAACCAGAAATGACACTACTCACCATAACGGACCAGACAGTATAAATTCCAAGCAAAGTAGAACAACAGCATCTCCTTATCGGAAGCCTTGCTGATGATGTTACCCAGCATGATGAAACGTCTGAACGAAAACAAGCCAGCTCAGCAAGCAAGTCAACAACCTCCCGCACAACCCGAGCTACCAGTCTTCGCTAAAATCTTAACCAGATGAGTTCCAGAATTGTGCTGCTGTTATTTCTTTGCACTAAAGTACAGCAGTATTAAAGTTGGATATGGCTTCTAAAAATAGTGATGTAAGTAGATCTTGACCGTCGGCTAGAAAAAGCCCAGGCCGTTCTAGACACTTGAACATGCTGAAATGGTTAATTGTGAAACTGGGCTTTGCATACAAGTTTTCAATTTGGCTTAAAGGCCAATACGTGAATGCCCAATTGGCACAACTACATGCAAAGAGAGGTATTCTACTTATGTATTCCTGGCATACATAGGGGAAACTTCACAACCTTATGATTGTGGGACTGAATACACGATTTTCAGATAAAAGCTCCTGTTGTGTAAATAACTGCTGAATTGGGAAATATTACTGTAGTGCTTAATGATCAAATGGATACTTAGGTGCCACTTTTTTTTAATACAGTCAAAAACACTGAGAGAGTTCCTTTCCCACCATTTGGAAGAGATTCCGCCATGCCAGGTTTAAATCAGGTAGGTGGACTTCTGTATAATTTAAGTTTCCTTTCTTAGCCCAGGTTGTTCTACTTCATCTGCAATTGTTAACAAACTTCATTTTGTCCAGGCACAGATTTGACATGGTTGAAAATAAGAAATTTGTTTAAATATATTCAAATTAATGGTAAAAGCTTAGAGTTAAATTTTAATTTTCATAATTCTTCCAAAATTCTTACTAGTATGTTAAGTAGCTAAGCATATTTGCTGAAAGTTTTTGCACTGATTAATTAACCTAGTGACAAGTTTGAGCTTTTCATGATAGTAATCTTTTACATTTAGGTTAGTGATTTTTTTTTTTCTTTGGTACGGGTTCATCCCCATGGATACCACTGCCTGGGAAAGATGATTATATGGACTGTTTTCAACCTGTCTTTTTGGTTTTTCAGACTACGTGCTGTACACCACTGGATTTTTCTTAAATCTTGCTATTTATGGTCAGAAACTGGTTTAAATATTTGGTTGGAAAATCCGGATTGGCATTGAATTTTTAAATGATTTCTTGTTCAAATCTTATTAGTTAAAATAACTGCTAAACTGATAGTTAAGTTTGAGGCCACTCTCAAATAAGTAAAGTTTTAGTGACTAATTTTGTTATTTCTTTAGAATTTCATCTGCGGCAGATATAAGTAGGACATGAGTAAAATGGTACACATGCTGAAAATTTGATTTTAAAAACTGGAAATATTCAGCAGTTTGGGCAGCATCTGGAGAGAGTTGATGTTTCAGGTCAATGATTTTTCATCAGAACAGCTTACCAACATGTCTGACGTCCACACTAGTGCCTCAGGCAGATGACTTTACAGAGGAAATGGTTTTAATCCGGTATGCTTCAAATGGCTGGCTTGAGCTTCCAATTAAATTAGCCTCGGAACAATAGAGAAAGAAAATCCAGTTGCTTTTCTCATGCAGCCCATTTAACAGAGATGCACTTTTTTCATTTCCATTTGGTTGTAACAGTTATTACTGGCTAAATTATCAATCTGTGCTATTTACTCTGAAAACTCTAACAAAAAAGTTCATTCCTTCTAAAGAAGGGTCACTGGACCCGAAAAGTTAACTCTGCTTTGTCTTCGCAGATACTGCCAGACCTAAGTTTTTTTCCAGTAATTTGCTTTTGTTTCTGATTTCCAGCATCTGCAATTCTTTTTGCGGATTTTTTGTTAAAGAAGTTCTTGTAATTGCTGAGAATTTACTTACTGAACTCAGTAGTTCAGAGGAGTAACTACTGTGTTCTCAAAGACCAAATGGATTTGGAATTATCAATCGAAAATATAATTGGTACAGTCAGCCTTTTCATTTTTTATAACTTATTGTATAGTTCCAAAACTTAGTGGTGGGATACTTCTTGAATAATTTCCTTTTGGGTGTGACGTAAATTTTGAGACCTCAAACGGTAGAAGGAACAAGTTGTGCTTACGTGTTCATTTTTAATTACTGTTGCTGAATTCCATCTCTCCTTCCCCACCCCGATCCCCAGCACCCCACCCTTGCATTTCTCTTCTATCAGAATTTACAGATCACTTGCCTGTTACTGTAAGATTGATCTTTGAGAAATGCTTTAGATATTTTGTATTAACATCAACGTTGTGAATGAACATCAGAGTCTTAAATCTTATTTCATCAGGTCATTTAAGAGACCAGTAACTACATCCTGTATTTCATTTGCCACTGCTTCCAGTGGCTTGAAGAGAGAGTGTATCATTTGTGGTTTATTTTCTGTGCAACTATATAGTTTTAACCATCAACGGTTTATTCCATTGAATTATTAAGGTGTATTTGGAAAGTTTTTTTAATTACTTTTTATTTTACGGTTTATTCATTGACTGGAGTTATCATGTAGCCTCATTGGCATTGTGGATTTTTTAGTTCAATTTAACGGTTATCTTTTTTGCAATGTTTGGTAAACAAAAATGCAACGAGCGTTTGCACCAATTTAACAATACTGTGGAATTCAGCTGTAGTTGTGCAGTAGTCAGCCAAGAAGCTGTGAAATCATAAAAGCACTTATTATCTGTGGCAGGGAAGTTTTCTGAATTCTGAAATGGGAATGGCCAATTCAGGAGCAATATCGCCAACTGGAGTCAAACCAGGATCTCAGTATTACCCCTACACCAGCAATCCTCGAAGACGACCCGTGCAAGAAGCAAGTAATTTAGGTAAATGTCACATAGCTATACTCTATTATAGTAAGCAGTATTAACCATTTATTGTCTAATCATTTCTATAATTCTTACTTTAAATGTCACTTCCAATCCTTATTAAAGTAAATAGTTGACATATTTGAGAAAGGAATATACTTTCTTGATCTGTGGTTATAAGTGGGAAAGCTGTTTTGACTGTTTGGGTACGCTCGTTCTGATCACCTTTATATCTTCCCTATTCTTTGGGTCCACAAACGTATGTTACATGGCTGTCCATTTGTCTATGTTGCTGTCTATGGCTTTCTCTCTTTCTTTCTCAAGTTTTCTTTTCTGCTCTCTAATTGCCTTACTCTGAATTTCTTATTTTTGATGCTGGACATGGCATTTGTTAATGAAGCTAACTTGCCTTTCAGTATAGGTCCCTTGGCTGAAAGCCTAGGACTGCAATCCCCAATGTGAGTCTTTTTCAATGCAAAGTGGGTGGCATTGTTTCCAGTCTGTGTTCAAACATTTTAAAAAATCAGTCATCAGGAATGCTTTGGTGTGGCAAGGAAAGCAGCAAACACAGGACCCAGTAGAGACTCTGCTAAACAGAGAACCAGAAGAGGAGGTGGTAGGAAAGTACCTGATCCTGAGAGAGAAGCTCATCAGAAACCCAGTAGAAGTGAAGATTGCAGGCAAAGGAGTTAAGAAAGAAGCTCCAGGCATGGGTCAGCACACCACATTACTGTTGAAGTAAGACTGTTAAAAAGCCACAAGAGAGATCAGAAGGAGCTTGGGTTGGTTTGGAATGCAGACTTGGAACACCAGATTAATTACAGGAAGTGTGCAGATATTCACACGTTCCAAGTTGGTGGGAGTTCAGAAGCAAGATCTTCAAGAATGAAGAGTAGAAATCCCTCTGGATGAAGACTGAGTGTTAACAAGATTGTTGTAACTCGATTTCTGATGTCTGGATCATTTACTCACAAATGCATGGGATCAGTCTAGGTTGCATATGCCATTAAATGTGCAGGGTATTGTTTGACTATGCTGTGTCTGTTAATTCATGTTTGCTTCATATTTAATTTTGAATGTTGAGTATGAAATCAATATTGAATTGTTTTACTTTATTGACTTGAGATAGTAACGTTTGTGCTTTTTGTTTTAAGCCTGTTGAATCTTGTGGCTTTATTGTGTTCATCAGATTTGAGATTCCCAAACTTCATCTTTTTAAACAAAAAAGTTACACATTCTCAACAGGTCATACCTTTTGTGTGTCTGGTCCAAGATTAAAAACAATAAGAGTAATTAATTTTAATTCCATTTGTTTATTAGCTTTCTAACTTTAGATGTTAATCCATATTTCCCTCTCCAGAATCCCAACCCAAAAAAGTACGAAAGGTACCTCCTGGCCTTCCATCTTCGGTAAGCATTTTGTTTCCTGATAATGTAAATTTTAGTAAAATTAGCTGAAGGTATCTTGACTAATTTATAAATAAGATTATTTCTCTGTCAGCTTGTTCAACACTAGTACCAGATAAGCAGAAAAATCCTCTAGCTGTGTATCAGGAGGAACGAAGCCATTGTCTTCACTCTCCACCACAAACTCTGTTCCCTAGTTTTGATACCAGCCTTAACTGTGACTACCATCTTAAGGCTGGAAAATGTTTTTAAACAAGCTTAGTGTCATTTGAATCTGAGATGAGCTTCCAACCATACATCTGTTTATCACTATGATCGCCCTCTACAGTAATATCGCACCCCTGCCTCCGTTGCTGTTGTATTGGAAATCTCACCCATGCTTTTAGTACCTCCTTCCTGACTGGCCTGGTGACTTCAGTCTTGTGTAAACTTAGGACCAGCCAAAAGCTGGTTTTCCCTTTTGCTCTAATTGTACCACATTTCATTGATCATTATAATTACTGACATACATTGGCCCTGGTTAGTTAATGTTTCAAACCTCCACCACCACCATCTGATTTGTGACCCTCTGAGATATCTGCATTACTCAGTTTCTATCTCTTCAATGTAATGCCCCCACCCCTCCGTCCTGATTATTAGTTGCTTCACTGTGCACTGCCTTTAGTGGCTTTAATTCCTTTCCGAAACTTCTCCAACCCTGTTTCTTCCTTTCCTCCTTTAAGATGTTCCTCAAACTTTTGGTCATTCCTCTGATATCTTGTGGCATTGTCACAGTTTTCTGAAGATGCTTCTGAGTGTGCTCTCAGAATGCTTAGTATGAATGCAAGCTGCAGTCAGTTGTTCAACATTTTGTTGGGTTGCTAAGAATACAAAACTTAATAGTTATGTGAAGTGTTTTTTCTTTTTGTATGTTTATTGTCAGAACCTCTTATCCTGAATGCATCATAGCTCTTGCTTCCTGAATTAAAGAATCAGTTGTTAAAATGTCATTACAATGTCTGCAAGCAGAAACCATTTAGAGCAGCCTGCATGAATAGTATTGTTTGACTTGAGATGCATTAGTAAGCTTAGGCTGCTCTCCATGTGATGATTATGGCTGGACTCTAAAATTGACAATCTTCAATGTGTGGATGTACCTACTAGAGAAGGAGCAATACTTGTCCTTCTTTTGAGAAATAAAGCAGGGTGTCAGGGGAGCACTTTGGGGCAAGTGATCATAGTTTTGTTGGTTTTAAAATAGTTATGAAAAAGGATGGAACTGATCATAAAGTTGAAGTTCTAAATGTAAGACCAATTTTAATAGTATTAGACAAGAACTTTCAAAAGTTGATTGGCAGAGGGTGTTCACAAGTAAAGGGACGGTTGGGAAGTGGTTGGGGGGGGCTTCAAAAATGAGGTGATGAGAGTTCAGAGACATTATGTTCCTATTAGTGTGAGGGGAAAGGCTGGTATGTGTAGGGAATATTGGATAACTAGACAAATTGAGGCTCTGGTCAAGAAGAACGAGGAGGCATATATCAGGTATGGACAGCTGGGATCGAGTGAATCCCTAGAAGGGTATAAGGACAGGAGGAGTATACTCGAGTGAAATCAGGAGGGCAAAAAGGCGGCATGAGGTATCTTTTTGACAAATCGAGGTAAGGAGAATCTGGAGAGATTCTATAAATAAATTAAGGGTAAAAGAGTAACTAGGAGAGAACAGGACCCCTTTGAAAATCAGCGTGGCCGTCTGTGTGGAACCACAGAAGATGGATGAGATACTAAACAAATATTTTGTCAGTATTTACTGTGGAGAAGGACATGGGAGCTAGGGAAATAAATAGTGAAGTCTTGAAAAGAGTTCACATCACAGAAGAAGGGGTGGAGGTCTTAAAACGCATAAAGGTAGATAAATCCCTGGGATCTGACGAGAAATTTGTGGGAAGCTAGGAAAGAGATTGCTGGGTCCCTTGCTGAGGTATTTGTATCCTCAATAGCCACGGGTGAGATGCCAGAAGACTGGAGGTTGGCTAACGTGTACCATTATTTAAGAAAGGCCAGGGAGCTACAGTCTGGTGAGCCTTGCGCGAGCAGTGGCTAAGTTGTTGGAGGGGATTCTGAAGGACAGGATTTACATGTATTTGGAAAGGCAAAGACTGATTTAGGAAAGTCAGCATAGCTTTGTGCATGGGAAAATATGTTTCACTAACTTGATTGTCTACCATTCTCTTCATCTATCTTTGTCACCTCTTCAAACAACTCATTGTTTATATGGACTTAAGCAAAGCGTTTGACAAGGTTCTGCATGGTAGACTGTTAGTGAGGTTAGATCACGTGGAATCCAAGGGGAACTAGCCAATTGGATATAAAATTGGTTTGAAGGTAGGAGCAGGGTGGTGGTGGAGGGTTGTTTTTCGGACTGGAGGCCTGTGACTAGTGGTGTGCCACAAGCATCCATGCTGGATCCACTGCTTTTCGTAATTTATGTAAGATGATTTGCACGTGCATATCGGAGGTATGGTTAGTAAGGTCACAGATGACACCAAATTAGGTGGTGTACTGGAGAATGAAGATTTATCTCTGAATACAACAGGACCTTGATCAGATGGGTGAATGTTCTAAGGATTGACAGATGGAGTTTAATGTAGATAAATGTGAGGTGTTGCATTTTGGTAAGGCAAGCCAGGACAGGACTTACACAGTTAATAGTAGAGTCCTAGGAAGAGTTGCCGAACAGAGACCCAGGGGTGCAGGTGCTAGTTCCTTGAAAGTAGAGTCGAAGGTAAATGGGGGATGAAGAAGGCATTTGGCACGCTTGCCTTTGTTCAGCATATTAAGTATAGGAGTTGGGATGTCATGTTGCAATTGTACAGGACATTGGTTAGGCCACTTTTGGGATACGGTGTACAATTCTGATTGATTGCCCTTCGATAGGAAGGATGTTGCTAAACTTGAGGGTGCAGAAAAGATTTACAAAGATGTTGCTGGGACTGGAGAGTTTGAGCTGTAGGGAGATGCTGAGTAGGCAGGGGCTATTTTCCCTGGAGCATTGGAGGCTGAGGGGGTGACCTCATAGAGGTTAATAAGATCATGAGGGGCATGGATAGGGTGAAGAGCCAAAGTTGTTTCCCTAGAATGGGGGAATCCAAAATTAGAGGTTATAGGTTTAAGGTGAGAGGAGAAAAAGGACCTGATGGGTAACATTTTCGTGCAGATGGTGGTGTGTGTATGGAACGAGCTGCCAGAGGAAGTGGTGGAGACAGCTACAGTTACAACATTTTAAAAAGCACCTGGAATGGGTATATGAATAGGAAGGGTTTAGAGGGATATGGGCCAAATGTTAGCAAATGGGACTAGGTCAGATTGGGATGTCTGATCAGCATGGAGGAGTTGGGATGAAGGGTCTATTTCCACGCTGTATGACTCCAACTCTTAAGTCACAGATGGTTGTTTTCAAAGTGAGCAAGCTCGTACTGATATAGTCTGGTACTTTCTGAAGGTTGTGTCAGATCTTCAACAAAAAAAGTATTCAACTAATTGTTCCACCTTTTCCTCATAGCCCTGCAACAGTTTCCCTTTGAAATATTTCTCCAACTGCCTTCTGAAACAATTGTTGAATCTGTTTCTGTTATTCAGTGTGACAATGCATTCTAAATCAAATGCATTATTGAATTTTGGAGGAGAAGATACTGGGAATTCTTGATGAATTAAGATAGATGGCCACTTCTTAGTGTAAGATATGCATTGGGGTACGTGTTTATTAAAACTCTACTACCCTGAAGTGTGGTTATTCAAGTGCACTCTTGGGAGCTTAACTGCTGATAGCAGCATTAGCAGTTTGACTCTGGAGGCTGAGACTACAACCGATTTATGATGGGTATGTGTCTCAGGGGACAAGTAAAGTTTTTTTTTATATGCTTGTTTACATGCCCTTGGGCATGTTGAAACTAGAATTCAATATGCTGAGTAAAACAATTATGCTTCTAGGCCACCTTACATTTTACGTATACAGAGCATGCTTGTAATTCAACACAATGAGTCAGAAACTCTGTATTCTGAAATGATAAGGCCATGATGGAAGATGTCAACATGGAGGATAATGGGAATTGGTAGGTAAGACCAACTCCAAACTCATTCGGGCAGGTGTTTTAAATGAATAAATTGGTAGGTATTATCATAGAATGGTAATAGTCTTGGGACTAATGATTCAGTGGATCAGAATTCGAATCGCACATTGTAGTTCATGTTAAAGTAATTGGCACAAGAACTGGAATTTTTTTTAAAAATTCACTAATGCATTTGATTTAGAATGCATTGTCACACTGAATAACAGAAACAGATTCAACAATTGTTTCAGAAGGCAGTTGGAGAAATATTTCAAAGGGAAACTGTTGCAGGGCTATGAGGAAAAGGTGGAACTATTAGTTGAATACTTTTTCTGTTGAAGATCTGATACAAACCTTCTATTCTGGGCATTCCGTGCCACAAGAAAGTGCTCCTAAAAAACTTTCATCATACTGCTGCTTTTCAATCTTAAGGAATTTATCAGTCATACTGAAACATTGTAAAGGAAATTATTTGTAGCCTTTGATTGTTAGACCCCAACAGAATAGCATACAGTGACAATGCGCAATATCTTTAGTCTGGACAATATTGATTTTGGTTTTTTTCCCAACCATCCCCAACCATTAAGCCAGTAGTCACTTATCTTTGTCACTGTCTTAGTTGCCAATTGCTTTCACCTTACTTGCATAGAAGTCGTCTTTTTCTTTAAATTCTGCCTGCTTCTTGTCTCTTATCCTCATTGGAGGGTAGAGTCTGCTAAGCAAATTCCAATCGCTCCAATTCAACTTGGTTCATTAAACTGTTAATTAGAATATGTTACTCTGTGAAAAGTGCATACACAGATTTCTTATCATCTGATTCTTTTAAACATAATTGCTGTGAATCTTCATGAACAAAACATTTTGGTATGGTAAGTGCTCTACTTGAAACAAAATCGTGCTTTTCGTGGGTAATAGTAGTAATTTATGGTTACATGTATTCATGAAAATACAGTAAAATATTTAGAAATTTCCATAAGCTGGCACCATTTTAATTACATAAATTAAAAGAAAGAAATCGTACAAAATTAGGACAAATTACATTTCTTGTTCCATACATGACTTCTTGATTTCCTAAGTGGCGACGGGACACCGCCACACTCTACAGCCGCCAAACCATTCCCTGAGGACGCAACATCCAAGGGGGAAGCATGCTAAAGCTGCTACTGACCAGACCCAGAATGTTACCTTTGCCAAAGCCACCTCATCGCCAATACTCCAGCCGCAGCCATAGCCAGGAGACTGTCCCAACTTTCAAGGGCCAGGGCCGTCTCAACTTCTGAGAACTAACTGTCCAAATTAACTCCCGAGGACTGAGAGGTTATTCATTCTACTGCCATCATAGACACTGCAAACGCATCAGAGGAAAAGAACGAATCCCAATTCATTGTTGGTTGCTCAAGCCGCAGCCACCGTGGCCACAAGGAATGGACCTGATCTGGTGCTCGGTAGTTCCTGCAACCTCTTTTCACTATCGTAGCTGCAAAAAGAAGAAAAAACGAATTTGATTCAAAAGTTAAATGAAGAAAAATAATTTTTTTTTTCAGTTATGCGCTTGGTCTTGCGAGAGGGAGCAGATGGGCTGGCGACCAGAACACCATCCACCCTGCTGCTCCCACTGTCTTGAAGTGAGATTCACACCTAAGCTTTTAATGCTGATCAGTTGTGGATGAAGTGTATTTAACCTGAAAATCTAATTCAACTAATTCCTTTTTGGATGTGAATTAGAGAAATTAGTTTCTACTCATTTGCAAAAGAACAGTCTTTTTTTTTAATTTTGCACTCTTGTCAGTGGTGTAAAAGCCCATCTGTAAATTATATCTTAATTCCTGCCGATCTGCACTTGTTGGACACCTAGAAGTTCCATTTCAGCCAGTCCATTCAATGTGAGCTTTGATTATGCCACCTGAATGGCAATGCTGATGCCTTCTTGGGACCATGTTTCTATTTTTTTTTTTTTTTTTTTTTTGAGACTCTCATTTGAACCCAGCAGGGTGTTTACTTTAGAAGTAGATGAAATTACAATTAAGATGGACTGACATGTAGTTACAGTTTAAATATTCATAGATCATAGAGATTATAGATCATAGAATCCCTACAGTGTGGAAACAGGCCCTTCGGCCCAACAAGTCCACACTGACCCTCGGAGTACCCACCTAAAACCCATTCCCCTATAACCCACCTAATCTACACATCCCTGAACACTACGGCCAACTTAACATGGCCAATCCACCTAGCCTGCACATCTTCTGACTGTGGGAGGAAATTGGAGAACCCGGAGGAAACCCACGCAGATAGGGGGAGAATGTGCAAACTCCACACAGACAGTCGCCCGAGGGTGGAATTGAACCCAGGTCCCTGGCGCTGTGAGGCAGCAGTGCTTACCATTGTGCCACCGTGCTGCCCCTATTATTTTATGTAGTTCTCTAGTAATGCAGTTGAGTAGGGTAGAAGCAAAATTATATTTCATTCAGTCCCTTGAGTACATTAATATGATATGTGGAACTGAAGCATGCTGGTGCTTCACATACACAGCATTTATAATCACTGGCCTTTTGTTAAAAGTAGTGTCACATTTCTGATCTATTAGCTTGAAATATCATCCCCAGGCGTAGTTGTGTATGGTTGGAAATCTGAAAAGTACTGAAAGTTTACATCTGTATGATGTCATTTGCCTTGTTATGAGGAGTCTACAGGCTTGCTCATATTACTTAGCTAAGTGTCATTTTCAGACTTTTCTGCTTGAGCTCCCCCTGCAAATATTGACTAATTTTCACAGACCTCTGCAAAGTAGAATTGCTGTCACCATATAAAATATTTTTATCCATCATATTTCCATGGTGCTAAATGAAACTAGTCAAAGCCAACTGTACTCACTAGGTCAACTGAAGTTTGAATAGGGAATAGCTGAATCAAATCAAGGAAAATAATTTGGTCTCTTATGTCACATAATTTGCTCATTTTTTAATTAATGCTTTTTGCTGTTTCTCTTAATTTGAGTTAAATAGCAAAATTCATGACAATTTTGAAAGCAGAAGAGTGGAGTTATGTGAAAGACTGGTATTTCAGTGCTCTACAAATATGAGTTGGGAATACGATAGTGCTTGCACTGGAATAATTATAGCATACAGTGCACAGCTACTTAAAATATGGAAAAAACAATGGTATTTAGAAGAAAATGTTGCAAGTATGACAAAAAAACAGCAGCTTGAAATCTTTGTATGCAAGAAGTCAATGCTTGTCCACAACTTCTGATGTATTGACACAGCAGTGGATCTACTACTGAAGTAGATTATAGAATTCATACATAGAACAGTACAGCACAGTACAGGCCCTTCGGCCCATGATGTGCCGACCTATTGTCCTACTAAGATCAATCTCCCTGCATACCCTACATTTTACTATCCTCCATGTGCCTATCTAAGAGTCACTTAAAAGTCTCTAAAGTATCTGACTCCACTACCACTGCCGGCAGCGAATTCCACACACCCACCCCTCTGTGTGAAGAACCTACCTCTGACATCTCCCCTATATCTTCCTCCAATCACCTTAAAATTATGCCCCCTCGTAATAGTCATTTCCAACCTGGGAAAAAGTCTCTGGGTATCCGTTCTATCCATGCCTCTCATCATCTTGTACACCTCTATCAAGTCACCCCTCATCCTTCTTTGCTCCAATGAAAAAAGTCCTAGCTCCCTCAACCTTTCCTCATAAGACCTGCCCTCCAGTCCAGGCAGCATCCTGGTAAATCTCCTCTGCACCCTCTCTAAAGCTTCCACATCTTTCCTATAATGAGGTGACCAGAACTGAACACAATATTCCAAGTGTGGTCTAACCAGAGTGTTATAGAGCTGCAGCATAACCTCACGGCTCTTAAACTCAGTTCCCCTGCCAATGAAAGCCAACACGCCATATGCCTTCTTTACAACCCTATCAACTTTGGGTTTTCAAATTCAAATAGTATAAACATAAATACAATGATCTTGCTGACCCCAGTTTAAAAAGCTATCATTGCAGATTTAATGAAACTTGGCCCACAGCCTCATAAGTAAATTTTGTTATGTTTTTAACTTCTATCTTGTACAATGACCTTTTCATGTCATTCCTTTTTGAATGCCTTCTAGATATCCAAATACACTGCATTTACCAGTTCTCCTTCATCAACTCAGTTGACTATCTCACCAAATATTTCTAGCAAATTTGTCCAGCATGATTTCCCTCCAGCATGATTTCCCTTTGGCAAAGGAAGGAGATCCACCAGGATGTTGCCTAGGATGGAGTATTTCACCTATAGAGACTAGATTGTCTGGAATTGTTTACCTCAGAGCAGCAAAAGCTAAAGGGGTTGGGGGAAGCTGACTTTAGTAAACCGTCCCAACACTTAAATGTTTATATGAGCAGTTGAAATGCCGTTGTGTGCAAGGCTAAGGGTCTAGAGTAGATAGGTGCTTAATGACTGGTGCAGGTACAATGGGCCAAGAGCCTCATTCCATGCAGTAAAACGATTCTGTGAAAACCATGTTGATACTGTTTGATTGCATTAAGTTTTTCTAAATGTTCCGCTATTTCTTCCTTCATGAATTCTAGCATTTCTGGCCTGTGGCCTTTTGCTTTCTATGTGTCTGTTTTTGAACACGGACATCAGATTGGGTGTTTCAACTGCTGGAACCCGCTGGAATCCAGGGTGTGTGAAATTTTTGTTTTGATGTTTGCAGTCACTTGCTTTAAAACCTTTGGATTAAGGTCATCAGATCCTAACAACTTATTTAATGTCAGTCCATTAGTTTGTCAGAGAAAAGAGTGAATTAGTTAATGACAAAAAATTAGAGCTTGTGTAGAAAAAGAGTTGGCACTGATAGCTATCAGAGGGCACCAAAGTGTAGTAGAGCTTACTGATTTGATTGTTCATGTTATGGACCAGACCAAACCTCCTCAAAATACATTAAGAAAATAGCCTCAACTGCAACATTTTCTTATTTTAAAGGTAAGTGTAAGGCGTCGTGTTCCAGATGCCATTCAGTTGGTCAAACTACTCAACTTTAAGCAAAATACGTTTGTCTATTTTTACACTACAGTTAAAATGCAAAGAAAAGACTTAGATTAACTGTCTCTCAATGCTTACCAAAGTCTTGTGTACATATTCTTACCTTTTAAAGTTTTGGCAAAGATCTGTAGCTCGGGTTGTGGGTGAAAGAAACAGTGGCCACATTACTAGAGGAAGCAGCAATGCAGACCAGCAGCTCCATCAGCAGTGACAACATACTCAAACTACTAGACCTCTGCCTCACCCCACACTTTATCTTTAATGGTCAAGTCTTCAAATAGATCAACAGTATATCAATGGGGTCACCCATCTCAGGACTCATTTGCAGAAGCATTCATGCAAAGACTAGAACACACCACCCTCCCCTGCATTCAGCCTAAACTGTGGATCCAGTACATAGATGACACATTTGTCATTTAGTAAATACAACAAATTAGAAGAGACCCACCACACCCATCAACAGCATATTCGCAGGAGTTAAATTCACAAGGGAAGAAGAAAACAACAATCAACTTCTGTTTCTAGATGTTCAAGTTGAGCGAATGATCAATGAGGAGTTCCAAATCTCAGTATACAGAAAAGCAACCTATTTTGATCAAATCCTCAACTCCACAGCAACCAAACAAAGCTGCATTAAAACATTAGTTAAATGCAGGACACACTGCAACCCTCCATAACTACGCAGAAAAGAGGAAAAGAGCCTATACAAAATCCTCACTATAAACTATAGGTGGAGAATCATGCCTCACTATAAATGGATATCTCAGCAACTTCATCCACAGATGCCTACTAAACAGACAGCAAAAGGAGGACACAGTATGCCCTAACACACTGGCAACACTACCCTACATTAAGAACATTATCAGAACAGACAACAAGACTCCTACGACCATTAGGAATCTTGATAGCCCACAGCCACTCCACGACAAACACTTACAAGGATTAAAGACCCCATCCCACAACATGCAGAACCAACGTGGTTTACAAAATACCATGCAATGACTGCCACAAATATTACATCGACAGACAGGAAGGAAACTAGCCATCAGAATATATGAACATCAACTTGCAGCAAAATGGCACGACAAGCTCTCCTTC